AGGACCTTGGGCAAGTGGCTAACTTTTACAGTCTCACTTTCCAGAAGCTTAAAACAAAGATGAAACTAATACCACCTGCCAGCTTGGAGAGCAGATGTGATCGAGGAAGTCGAGGCAAAGCACCTTGCACAAGGCTTCACACACCGCAGGTGCTTTGAAACTAGCAGCTATCAGCCATATTCCCTAACCATGCCCCAGGGAACAGGTGCATGACAAACCCCACGACCTGGTCCTGAGGGAGTAGGCGGTCGCTGCTATGCTGTGTGTTCTCCGCCTGAGCTGCTCTTCTCTACCCGTTCAGCCGAACATGAGACACCACTGTGGAAGGGCCAGCGGCCCGGGTCCTGAGGACCGTGGAGGGCAGTGCAGCAGAGAAGGCCCCTCCTGTCGGAGCCCCCGGGGCTGGCCCTGAGTGAGGACATGTTCTTGGGCCCACATGCACCAGCATCTTCATCTGGACCTACCTCACTGCCACCTTCTCTTGGCGCCTTGCGATAAAAACACTGCAACCACCTCCTTGGCGAGGATCCTCCCTGCTGGGCTCTCCTAGAGGCGCATGCTGCAGAGGGGCCCAGCAAGGGCTGGCTGCTGTGGGTGGAAGAGGGGAGCTGAGGATCATGCGGGGAACTGGGGTAGGAGAGTGAGGCTTGCACAATGTGGTGGTCACCTAGATCAAGCCAGGGCTGCCCAGCAGGTGCAAGTCATGTCCTCTGCGGCCCTGAGGGCATCTCTGGTGACCGACCAGGTGGAGCCACCACCACTGGCCTGAGTTTGTAACTTGCTAAATTGCCTCTAATCTCTCTCTCTCGGCCACAGAGCCTGCTGTCTATCATTTTAGTCCAGTAGATCACAAATATGCACGTAACATCCCTAGCTGGGGCAGGAGCCTCCTAAGCTGGTGTGTTTCCTACAGTGCTGACAGCACCCTTCCAGTCCTTCCTGCCACTCCCAATGCCTCCGGGAGGTTTCTGAGTTCAAGCATCATAGGAGCCCTTGCAGGAGGTAATCCTATACTTGCTGCAGAATCCCAGGGGCAAGTATGACAGGACAGCCTCAGAGGGCCCCTGCCTCTGTTATTCTCAAATCAATTCAGAGACACAAAATACATACCCAAGATCCCCTGCCCTGATTCTCTGGGTGATTCCCCGTTCCCACCGATCCCTCTAGGCCAGAGGCAAAGCTGCAGTGATGACAGAGACCCAAAAGAATAGCCCTCACGGGTCAGCCTTCTCTTCCTTGATATGTAACCGGAGGTTATCCCGAAATTAATCTGATCTGATCAACTTCCCTACATCTTTCTAGCAGAGGAATGGGGAATATTCAGAGCAAAGTAATGTAGGCAGGCGTGTGTGTGCATGCATGCGTATGTGTATCTGTGGGCAAATAAAATTAAAGTTTCATGGATTTAGGTGACTAAAACTAAAAGTGTCAGCCTCCGTGTCCACTTCTTCAGGCTTAATAAATTACAATCAAGGCAAGCACCAAATGAAGATGTGACTATTTTAATAGCACTTTAAAAGCTCTCCATTGCAAGAAAAACAAGTTCACTTCCTCCTTCCAACATGCAGGGCAGGGTGCTTTGGTTGAGAAAATAGAAAATTTTGGGGCAGGAGTGGGGATTTGGTTGGGGTTGGCCATGTAAGTTATTTTCTAATAGCTGGCTGGACACAACTGAGGTTGTATTCCTCCATAGGGAATACAGCGCAAGTGTCTCAGGCCTCAACGAACTCAGCTTCTCTGGTTCTTGGCGCTGCTCTCCACCTCTACAGCAGTCCTGGAGCTCAGAATTGAGCTCCAAGCCACTCAGAGTAACAACGGGACAACTGGGTAATTTGCACATCTCTGGAATACATGTTACAGCCGGCTTCCCTTCTCATGCCTGCTCTTTTTCCTAAACCTTCTGGAGGAACGTTGGCATTGTGAAAGCCCAGAGGGACTCAGAATTTGCCGTGGTTCTTGCCTGAGCAGAGTCTACCCAGCATTCAGCAGACTAAGCTGCAGGGGTGCTGGTGGCTCACGGCTCCCTGCCGCACGTGGACTGAGGCTTGGGCTCTTAGAAGCCCAGACGGAGCCAGAGAGACTGTGCCTCAGTCTACCTGAGGGAAATAGGGAAAGCCTCCCACGGCAGGTAACTAGCTAGGGCCTGACAGAGGAAGGGCACCAGGTGGGCAAGGGGATGGTGGGCTGTAGTGAGGGTGGGCTTGGCATTCATGGATGGGCTCCACCACAGCAAGAGAGCCTAGGTCAACCTGTTTCATTCATTTTCACTCTGACCAGGTGGTGGAGATCACTCCCAGTTCTATTCCTTGGAATCTGATGGGCTACTTGCACCCCCCAAGGGAGGGGAGTGGGGGACAGTGAGTGTGTGGGAGAAAATAGCAGACAGTGACTTTTAAAAGGCAAATGGGTTTAAGTTTTGATTGACTTTTTCTCTAATAGTTCATACTTTTTTGTGACACGTGTAAGAAATCTGTGCAGAATATAGACACTAAGATTTTGTCCCATTTTCTTCTAGGGGTTCTATATTTTCAGCCTTTTACATTTTGGCCTATGATCCATAATGAATTAAGTCTGATGTATGATGTGAGGAAGGGTTGGAAAACTTTTAATACATCCAGTTGTTTCAAGATAATTTACTGTAAAAATTATCCTTCCCACATTTAACTACCTTTCCATTTTTATCAAACACCGAGTGACCATATACACGTAGCTCTATTTCTGGACTCTCTATAGTTCCATGGACATATTTATCTGTCTTTACACCAATCCCATACTATCCATACTATTTCAAGATGTAGCTTGAAATAAGGCTTTAAGTTATGCAGTGTAACTCCAAATTTGTTATTTTTCAAAATGGTTTTGGCTATTTTAGGTCCTTTGCAGTTAAGTACAAATTTTGAAATTTTGATGTTTCATTAACTTGTACACCCCCTACCAAAAAGTCTATTTGGACTTTGGTTAAGATTGCATTGCCTTAAATCTATAGATAAATTTAGAGGAAACAGACATCTTAAGAAAATTGTTACCAATCCATGAACACTATGAATTTCCCATTTAGGTCTCTTAACTTCACTCAGAAGTGCTTTTTAAGTTTTTACTCTACAGGTCTTTCACACCTTTTGTTATATTTATTCCTAAGATTTTGCTAATTTTGGACATTATCATAAATTGCACTGCTTTTTAAATTTCAATTTGATTGTGCAAGGTATGTAGAAATACAATTGATTTTGTATATTAATCTTGAATTGTGCAACCATGCTGAGCTCACTAATTTTTTTGGTAGACACTGCTGTATTTTCTACAAGTCATCTTGAGTAGTTTTAATTTTTCCTTTCTAGTGCCTGTTTTCTTTTGCTGTATTCCACTGGCTAGAAGCTCTAGTAAAATGTTCAGATGTAGTCTAACAGTGGATATTCTTGCATTGGGCCTGTTAGTAAGAGGAATGCATCCAGGCACTCACCATGATAGCTGCTGGAGATTTTTTTTTAGATGTGCTTTATTAAGCTGAGGAAATTCCCTTTAAATTCTAATTTGCTTAGAGCTTTCATCATGAATTAGGGTGGAATTATCAAATATCCTTTCTACATCTATTAATCACATAGTTTTCCTCTTGGATAAATTTGGTAACTAACATTAGTTGACTTTCCAATGTTAAACCTACATAGCATTTTGGGGATAAACCTTATTTTGTTAAGCTACATTAACCTTTTCATATAAGGATCATTTGTTAAGAATTTTTGTGTTGATGTTCATGAAGAGTAATTATCTAGTTTTCCTCTTTTGTAATGTCTGGTTTTGGGATCAGGATAATGTTGGCCTCATAGATGGAGTGGGGAAGTATTCTTTTCTCTTCAGTTTCCTGGGAGAGATTATGTAGAATTGGTTATTATTTTTTCCCTGAATATGTGGTAACATTAACCACTAAACTGATCTGGGTGAGTATTCTTTTTGAGAATTTTAAACTACAAATTTAATTTCTTTCAAAAATAGGGCTATTTATGAACAACAAATGCTGGCGAGGACGCAAAGAAACGGGAACCCTCCTACACTGCTGGTGGGAATGTAAACTAGTTCAACCAGTGGGAAAGCAGTATGGAGGTTCTTCAAAAAACTCAAAATAGAAAAATAGACCCAGGAATTCCACTTCTAGGAATTTACTCTAAGAATGCAGCACTCCAGTTTGGAAAAGACAGGTGCACCCCTATATTTATCGCAGCACTATTTACAATAGCCAAAAAATGGAAGCAACCTAAGTGTCCATCAGTAGATGAATGGATAAAGAAGAGGTGGTACATATACACAGTGGAATACTATTCAGCCATAAGAGGAAAACAAATCCTACCATTCGCAACATGGATGGAGCTAGAGGGTATTATGCTCAGTGAAATAAGCCAGATGGAGAAAGACAAGTACCAAATGATTTCACTCATCTGTGGAGCATAAGAACAAAGCAAAAACTGAAGGAATAAAACAGCAGCAGACTCACAGAACCCAAGAATGGACTAAAAGTTGCCAAAGGGAAAGGGACTGGGGAGGATGGGTGGGAAGGGAGAAGAGGAATAAGGGGCATTATGATTAGCACACATAATGGGGGGGGGGTCACGGGGAAGGCAGTATAGCAGAGAGAAGACAAGTAGTGACTCTGTAGCATCTTACTACGCTGACAGTGACTGTATAATGGGTATGTGGTGGGGACTTGATAATGAGGGGAATCTATTAACCACAATGTTGCTCATGTGATTGTATATTAATGATACCAAAAAAAAAGAAAATAGGGCTATTTAGGTCTTCTATTTCTTCTTGAGTAAACTAGGTTTGTATCTCCCAAGGAATCTGTGTTCATCTAAATTGTAAAATTTATTGCCATAAGTTGTTCATAGTATTTTTTGTTGTTTGAATATCTGTGGAATCTACAGTGGTGTTCCCTCTCTCATTCCTGACACTGGTTATTTGTTTCTCCTCTTTTTTTCTCCTTATCAGTCTAGATAGAGTTTTACACATTTTTTCTTTTTTTTTGAGCTTCTCAAGGAATCAGTTTTTGGTTTATTAAATTTTCTCTATTATTTTTCTCTTTCCAATGTCACAGATTTCTGCTCTACCTTTGTTATTTCCCTTCTGCTTATACTTTCAGTTTGCTCTTTTTAAAAAAATTTCTTAAAAGTAGAAGATGAGGTTTGATTTGAGACCTTTTTCCTAAAACAGGTGTTTAGTGCTATAAATTTCCCTTAGGTCCTGCCTTATTAGTTGCATCACAAGATACAATGTCAACACATGAACATCTACTGCATTACTACCTACCAGCAACGAACAAGTAGAAATCACAATTAGAAAAACAGTACCACCTACAATAACTCCAAGAAAATAAATATTTAGCTATAAATCTAACAGAACTTGTACAGGATCTGTATGCCAAAACTACGAAATGCCAACAAAAGAAACCAAAGATGTAGATGACCAGAGAGACATGTCATGTCCATGGTTTAGAAGACTCACTACCATAAATAAGTGAATTCCCCCTAAATTTATCTATATATTTAAGGCAATCAATAATTGAAGTTCCAGCAGACCCTTTGTACAGATAAGCTGATTCTAAAATGCATACAGAAAAACCGAAATAACTTTGAAAAGGAAGAATAAAGTTGGAGGAATCACGCTACCTGGTTTTTAAGACATATACAAGCTACAGTAATCTTGATTTGTTAGGTCAATGGAAGAGAACACAAAGCCCAGAAACAGACTATACAAACATGGCTAATTATTCTTGACAAAGAGGCAAAAGAAATTCAGTGGAAATGGACATTCAGCAAATGGTTCTAGAACAACTGGACATCCATCCGACACTCCCAGCCCCAAAAAACTAAAGAACAAAAACCTTACACTTCATAAAAATTAACTCAAATTTAAGAGGGGGAAATTAGTGAGAATGTTTGATATCTTGACCTGGGTGATGGTTACATGAATGTATACACATGTCAAAATTCATCAAGCTACACATTAAGATTTGTGCCTTTTATTCTATGTACCTCAGTATAAAAAGTTTTAAAAAATTTAAACATCAACAAAGTCCGCTATTGCAGATTCTGCCCTGGTTGTGCAGGCACCAGTCAATTGGTGATCACTGTGCACAGCTATTAAAACAGACAAATCGAAAAAAGTTAAACATTTAAAAAATTAGTTCAAAATAGGTCATAAATCTAAATGAAATACATAAAACTATAGAACATTTAGAAGAAAATACAGGAGAAAATCTTCAAGAACTGGGGCTGGATAAAGATTTTTTAGACATGACACCCAAGAGCACAGTACATAAAAGAAAGCTGACTTTCCGGTTTTGGACTGAAAAGTGGAAACTGGACTTTTCCAAAGTTAAAATTTTTGCTCAGTGAAAAATATTGTTAAGCGAATGAAAAAGCAAGCTGCAGACGAGGAGAAAATACTGTAGACCACACATCCGACAACAGGTTTGTATCTGTAATTCATAAAGATGCTAAACTCAACAGTAAGAAAACAAACCCAATTTAAAAGTGAACAGAAGATTTAACACATGCATCACCAAAGAAGATACACAGATGGCAAATAAGCTCATGAAAAGATGTCCACCACCGTCAGCATCAGGGAAAGGCAAACCCCCACCACGATGCAACTCCACTGCGCATCTACCAGAAGGGCTACCACCAAAGCACTGACACCACCAACTGCCCGTGAGGATGCAGAGCAACCTTCAATACCGTTTTGCTGAATTAACTTTTTTTCAAACACGCTACATAAATATGATCAGAAAAAGCAATTTGACACTGTGGTTTTAGGCAAAGACGCACTCACCAGCTGACTCAACACAAGTTTCCAGAACATAGCGAACAAATTTGAGTTGTACACTGTATTTGAATGAACCATAAAATGCTTTTCTTTGCATGGGTGGAATCCTCTAGACTTCAGTTTATTGTGTATTCACTATTTCCTCATTTCTTAAACACTCTTGAATTTAGCCCTTATTTTGTCCTAAAGCAGGGGTCAGCAAACTTTCTATAAAGGGTCATTGTAAATACTTCAGCAACTACTTGACTCTGTCCTCAGCAGAGCAGCTGCAGACAGGCATGTGTATCTGTTCAGTGGATTCCAATACAACTTTATAAAAACTGCAGCTTGATTTGGCCTATTAGGATCATAACTCACCAAGCCCTGTTCCCAGGGCTGGAGCAGGGAAACTCACCAAGCCCTGTTCCCAGGGCTGGAGCAGGGAAAGCAGCTGCCAAACATTTAGAACTCAGCTGGCAGCTACGGGGCAGACCAGGGCCAGCTTCCATTGGCACCAAATGTTCAATTAGCAGCTGCCTGGTTTTGCTGGAGAAACATCTCAACAGCTTGCAAGCACTGGTCCCAAGGGAGTTCCAAGAGGTCCTGATCAAAGCAGCCACTGTAGCCTCACACACACATTTTCAGTCCGAGCAGCCAGGGCAGGGCCTGTGGCGTGGAGGGGCTGAGGGACTGTCGTAAGGGGCCAGAGCTGTGTCAGGAGCCCAGTTCTCCTGGCCCCAACCCCAGGTCTTCCCCACTCAAAAATCCCCCCTTTATGAACTGGGTGCTCCCCAGGAAAACAGCAGAAACTCCACCTGCCTCATCATGAAAGTAATGGCGGTGCTTCTCAGGGCTGTCCAGGGACGGCCTCAGCGTGGGACCTGGGTGACCCTGAAGCACATCCCGGGGGAAAGGAACAGGGCCTTGGTCCTCCATCCCGTCCGGTGGCCCGAGGCACATGGCTGCAGGCCAGCGTCCAGGGCATTCTGCCGAGGCCCGTGGTCTTCAGAATACCCACAGCGGGCTTGAAGGAATAGACTTTATTAATCTAGCTCTCAAACAGTAGTGGCTAAAATTCAGCTGAACTGTAACAATCTATTTATAGAGTGCAGCCTGCAGGCCAGGTGGGGCGGCCTGGCTCTTCCCCAGCCACCCACCAAGTGCAGCCTCCAAACAGACCTGGGCCACTTTCTCCCTGCAGCACAGAGAACTTTTATATACACGTGACCAACCCCTCAGAGATAAAACACCGGGCAGGAGGCACCAGACCAACAGAGAGGCAGACAGACAGCAGACAGGGGGCTGAGGCTGCTGAGAAGGCCCGGGGCCTGCTTCAGCACTTCTTCAGGCTGTAGGCCAGGCTACCGGGGACCCTGCTGCCCTGCAGGGGTGGCGAGTTCCAGACAGCAGAGCTGGTGCGCTTGTGGTAGCGGGGCTTGCTCTTTTTGAAGATGTCCTCCAAGTCCAGGGGCAGAATGGCTCCAAAGAGCTCGAGAAGGTTGGGGGGGTGGTAGTACTGGTGGATGATGGCATGGCTGAGCTGGGTGCCTGCAGGGGAACATGGAGGGCCGGGTCACTGCCTTGGGGTTCCCCATGAGCTTCCCTCCTCCCCAGCCCTTGTCGCCCTCCACTCCAGCACGCCCCACCTCCTGCCACATCAGCCCCTCTCAGAGCCTTCTTCCTCCCCACCTCCCCACCCCACACTGATGAAGCTCTTACTGCACATTCCTACTGCCAGCCTCCGGCAGCTCAGCCTGAACTGGTGTTCAGTAGCTCATGTGGGCCAGGCACTCGGTTGAGCCCTCACTGCAAGACTCTGCTATCCCAACAAGCCTAGGGGAGGCATTTTATAACAGCGAGATGTACCCACAGGCACACAGCTAGTAACTGGTGGAGCCGGGGTTGGAAGACAAGTCTAACATGCATACGTTGCTTGATGGCCTTGGTTGGCTACTTATCACGGTGCAGGTGCAAGCTAGAGGGCCTCAGGGCTGAGGCTGTGCATGCTCTGTACCAGCCTTCCTATACCCATTCATTCCATCCTCAACAACCCTTCTCAGCTGGTCCTATTGTCACCCCCATTTCACAGATGAGAAAACTGAGAGTTTAGGTACGCTGGAGAAGGTCCACCACGGCTAGGTGGCTTTGCAGGGCGTCTGGCTCCCTAGATGCTCAGACTCCTGCCTGCTGCCACCTCAGAAAGGCCTTGGCGCCAGAGTTAAGGAGAACAAGTCAGATTCTGGCTAATGTGGGGTTTGCATGTGTTTTCTGTACACCCGAAGGGTTCTGGGCTCTGCCCCAGCCTGACCCTTAGCTCGGCAAACTATAAAGCACCCACTGTGTGCACTACTTCCACTCCACTCCCAGCAGGCCTTGCACCCAGGCCTGTGGAGGCACAGTCATGCTCACCCACACTTCTGATTAAACACTGGGGCCCTCACAGTTTGGGGTCATGTCCTGTTCAAGTGCTCTGCCGTAAGGCTCCCCTGACTACCAGCAGGCTGCACCCCCAGCTCCAGCTCTTAGTGTGCTGCTGGAAACCCCCTGCCACTCTTAGCTCTGTTCCCACCCCATTCTGCTCGTCTCATCTGGCCTGCTGTGCAGGACTCCGAGGAGGGGCCTAGGGCCCGAGTTGAACACCCAGCTGCCCGCAGCCAGCCACAATTTAATACATTTGTTGACTTGTTGAGAACAAAGGCATCTGACATTGTAGATATGATCCCCAGATGAGCCCATGGGCCAAAGGGTGCCCACCCTTCCCTGGGTGCATCCTAAGGCCAATGCCTCACGTGGCCAGCCCACAGGCACAACGGCCTCTCGACACCTGCAGCTGCCAAGCCACGACCTCCAGGGCCTTAGAAATCACAAGTGAGGACCCAGGGCTGGGGTGCTCTGGGTGCTGCTTACCTCTGGCCCAGGTGGGGATTGGCTTCCGGGGTTGGGCCTCATCATCAGTGGAGTCATCGCTATTCAGATCCATCCCATAGTTATCTGGGTTGATCTTGGGGGGTGCCCTGTGCCCTTGTGGAGTCATTTGGTACGAGGTACAAGCTGGAGACTGGAAAAGTTAAATGTGGATATCAACCCCTTCCCCCGAATTCCTGCATCTCTCACCATCTAAGGCACTGGGGCTCTGGTCCCTTCCTTTATTTCATGGGAAAAATTAAAAGGTTCAGGGGCCACTTTTTAATTAAAAAAAGTCACAACTACGTATGTGACTCTGAATTTTGCTTTTACATATTAAAGCATGTGATCAGCGCCACCAGCGTGTCTCCTTTTGAACAGCCCTAGGGGCCTCCTCTGGGAGCCCTGTGATTATACTTTAACCAACTGTTACAGGTGAATGCTTAGTTAGCTTCTAAGTTGTCAACATCTTAAACCATGCTGCAACAAAAACCCTTCCTCGTGCTAGTTTGTCTGGAAATAGTCTAAATACTTGTCAATAGGGGCAGTTAAAGGAAGTCTGGTATAACTAACTGCTACACAGCCATCAAAAATAAGAGATTTGAAAGTGTGGAAATAGATGTCTACAATATACTAAATGAATGAAAAGAGGGGAAAAAAATCAAGCTGCCAACTGGTATGTGTGAGAGGCTAAATGTTTGTGGTCCTCTCGGAACCGTCCAAATTCCCATGTTAAATCCTAATCGTGGAGGGGATGTTATGTGGAGGTGGGGCCTTTGGGAGGTAACTAGATCACAAGGGCAAAGCCTTCATGATGGGATTGGAAGAGGCCCCAGGGAGCTTTCTCTCCCCTTCCGCCAGGTGAGGACAAAGCAAGACTGCCCTCTGTGAAGCAGGAAGAGAGCTCTCAGCAGACACTGAATCTGCTGGTGCCTTGACCTTGGACTTCCAGCCTCCAGAACCGTGGGGAACAAACTTGTTTAAGCCACCCAGCCTCTGCCGGTTTGTTAGAGCGGCCTGAACAGACTAAGACAATATATATAGTCTGTGCTCATTTAAAACTATGTATACGTGTGTGTATGTGTATAGAATGTTTATAGATGTAAAAATACAGAATGATATACGCCAGACTTAAAGAGTTTTTCTGAGGGCACCTTCCTTTATCTCTTTAAAAAAGTTTAGTGCCTTTTTTTAACACAACAAATTCTACTTTCAGAATAAGAACATACCTATCAAAAATAATAAAACCAGTTGGGCCAATTGTATTGTTCCTCTTTCTTATGGCCTTAAACATATATAGTCAGTGTTTCCAACTACTGGGATGAGCTGGGGGCCCGCTCTGCTCCAGTGCCGGGGCCTCACCTGCACGTCCATGGTCGTGTTCAGGCCTTTACTGGCTGCTGCAGCCTCCTTGGCTTTCTTCTGCTGCTCCTCTTGCAGCCGCTGCTCAGCCAGGCGCTGCTGCTCTTCCTGGGACCCAAAGGCCCGCCAGGAGTTAGAGACCACGTGTGTGCCCGCCTCTCCCACTATGCCAAGCCCACGTAGCACAGCAGACAAGGCTCCTGTACCAGGAGCCCCTGGAACCTCCTCAGCCCAAAGCTCAGTGCAGACCAAGCGGGAGCCCCCATGCCCTGCCCCCATTACCTTTTTCTTCTTCTCCTCAAGTTCCTTCTGCAGCCGCTCCTTCTGCAGCCGCAGGGCCTTCTCCCTCTCCTGCTGTTCCCTGCGGATAAGAGAGAGCCGGTCAGGGCAGGAAGTCCATCCCTGACCCAGGCCCACTCCTGCCGGGGAAGTCAGACCCACTGGCTCAGGCCGCAGAAGCTGGACTGGCAGAATGGGCACTCCAGCCAAGAGCCAGTGGCCACGCTTGTGTCTGAGGGACTGGGAGAGTGCACACCAAGGGTACGGGGTGGTTGTCCACCAAGGGTGGCCCCCACTCTTCCACACAATTTAGTCTCTGAGCCTCAGCCTTGCCTGATGTCCGATGGGGAACCAAACACCTTTCCTCCAGAGTCACATAAGAGGTAAATAAATCATCCAGGTCACCTCTAACCATCCTGACATGAATGGCAGACACCAGGCTCCAAGTCTGGTATTAAGCTGAAGGGCTAGTCATGGCTGGCTTGTACTTTGAACAAGTCATTTAACCTCACTGAACCTGCTTCCCTCTTTGGAAAGTGCGTTGCTGACCCCTACACCAGAGACCTTCAGGTAAGGATTAAATTAAACAAGGGAATGTGTAGAAAGCACATAGCAGGGAACCTGCTGAAGCAGTCAATGACTGTCACATGCTCAACCCCTGAAGCCCTGGCGCTGCCTGGCACACATGCAATTCTAAAACCACATCAGCTGCCACCCTTCGTCCCCCTCCCAGACTCCTGCCTGACATGAGGCCAACAAAACCAGGGACAGCTCTTTGTCAGCCAGTAGGCACCGGGAGATGGCCCCGAGTCCATCCAGCCCTCTGGCTGTGACTCCCCACTTCTTCTTTGGGCCTGTAGCCCCCACAAAGGTGAACATGGGAAAAGTGTGGGCTGGTGTTTCCCAAGAGGTGGAGTAGGAGAGAGGCAGCTGCTTGGCCTGGGCTTGGGTACACACACACGTCTACACGTGCACAGCGAAGGATCCCATGCATCTGCTGGCCACGGTGACTGCCTTCCCTCCCCTGGGAGCTGCCATGGCCTCCCAAAGGGCGGGGTGGAGCTAGAGGGAGGGGGCAACCTGTTCTCATCACCGCCAGAGGAGGCACATTCAGGTGGCAGGGCCAAGGACGCTGAAGGTCCTGCACGGTAGTGCCTCAAGAACTCTCCTGCCCGGATGCCCATGGTGGTCCCCTGGAGAAGTACTGGCTTACCCCAAGGCCCCCCCTGTGTCAGCTGCGGAGAAAATGACCCAGAGGAGTCAGCACATGCAGCTGGAGGCAGAACCAGGACAAACCCCGAGTGATGCCCCCCCCTGTTCCTCCCCAAATCTCCAGTCGCCAGTGCGGTGTATTCAGGGGGTCTGCCTGCCGCAGGCCTCTGCCCTGGGAGGCACGAGAAGCCTGGTCTTCAGCCAACCCAAGTGAAGTGGGGAGCCACATCTGGGTGACGGCAGCCTGTCTCTCATCTGCACACACACACAGGAGGGCAGGGGACGGGACGACAGGACGTCACCTGGCCAGCTCACCTCTTGGCCTGGAGCCGCTCCTGCTCCGCCAGCTGCCGCTCCTGCTCGCGCTGCTCCGCCAGCCTCTTGGCCTCGGCCGCCTTCCGCAGCCGCTCCTGCTCCTCCTCCTTCTTCTTCTGCAGCAGCTCCTGGTGCCGCCGCTCCTCCTCGTCCTGTGAATGCACAGCAAGCTCAGGGCCGCAGGCCGGGCCTGGGCAGGAGAGGCGAGACAGAGGTGTGGGAGCGGGAGGGGAGGCCTGCAGGGGCCAGAGGACCTACTGTCCTCCAGCAGCCGAGGGCCAGCCCCCGAGCAGGGCTCCGTGCGAATCGCCACGACCAGCCTGAAACGGCCCTGCTTTATTGCAGCAGCATATGGTACTTAAGGGTAAAGACCGGAGCCAGGCTCACTCATGGTGAGACACCAGGCAAGTCGCTAATGCCCTCTGGCCTCAATTTTCTCATCAGTGGAATGGGAACAACACCTACATGTTATGAAGTTGCTGAGTTTATATACTTAACATACTTTGAACAGTGCGCATAGCAAATCTTGAGAAGTTTTAGCCATCAGTATTATAACCCCCTAACAATAGATTGGTGTTCCCTACTTCATAGACTGACAGTTCCCAGGAAAAGATGGGCCCCTACTTCTACAGGCAGAACATACTCCTCACTACAACACTATTAGGTAGATGCCACTTGCTACCTGAAGGAACTGAAGCACAGAGAGGTCAAGTAACCTGTCTAGGGTCACACAGCTAATAAAAATAATTTATATATATATTTATAAGTTATATTATGTTTATATATATATGTTTTTTTGTATTTATTATATATAAAATATAATATAAATATAATAAATGGCAGGGCTGAGATCTGAAGTCTGGCTCCAGAGTCCATGCACTTCTCTCTCACAGTGCTGCCTCTACACAAAAGGGGCGCAGGAGACTGTCCCCCTCCTGTCACCATCCCTGGCTCCAAAGCATTTGCTGAATCTCCTCTGGGCTTGGAGTAACAAGACCCAGTGGGCTCAGCCCGATGAGGTAGGTGTGCGCACGGCTCCTTGGGGCTGAGGTGGTGCCGCCCTTCCGCACCTCCTCCTCGTTCCCAAGCGCCTCCGCCCACTGGCGCTCTCACCTGCTGTAGCCACCGGAGCCTCCGTGCCTCCTCCTCCTGCTTCCTGCGTGCCTCTACCTCCTCCATCTTCTTGGCTGCTGCCTTTTTCTTGGCCTTCTCCTCAGCCAGCCGCTCCTCCTTGGCCTGCAGAGCCCACCCACATGTGCCCACTGCAGCAGCCCTCCTCACTCAACCTACAGAGTAGGGCCCAGAACTCTGCACAACAGGCCCAGCCCCCTCACAAAGGGCTGCTGCTCAGTGTGGGGCACAGGCCCTCCACCCTCAGCTTGGCTCAGAATGGACTCCTGGGCCCACGGACAGACAGAAGAGGGATGTAGGGCATCAAACCCATAACTTCCCCGGAGTCCAGTCCTAACCCTTGGGCCACCACATCTGACCCACCCTGCGGCCTGCCGCCCGTAGCCCAGGGCTTGCACCTTCTCAGTCTTCTCCTCGATCTGAGCAAACTTCTGCTCAATCTGCTTCTTCTTCTCCTCCTTCATCTGCTCTACCCGCTCCCGGGCCTGCAGCACCTTGCGGAGGCGCTCCTCACGCTTCCTGTGGGCACAGGGCAGTTGTGGGGGGCCTGTAGAGGCTGGGGTGGGCCGCGGCCCAGGAGCCAGGCCACTTACAGCTTCACCTCCTCCAGCCACCGCCGCTTGTCCTCCTCCACCTTCTGCCTGCGGAGCTGCTCAGCCTCCTCCTTCCGCCGCAGGTTCTCCAGGCGCTGCCGCTCCTTCTCCTGGGGAGAGGGTGGGGATGTGGGTGAGGACAGCAGGGTGCTGGGCCAGGGGTGTGGCTGGCCCAGGACAACCCAGCAGGCCCCAGCCAGATGGGCGGCAGCATCACACTGCTTCTGAGGGACGGAGCTGCCCCAACACGCCTCCATCTCCAACCATTTTGAGGCCTGGGGCTTCAGTCTTTCCTCCAGGGAGAGCCTAAGGGCCTGAGTCACAAATGCCCCCAGCTCAGCCCTGCCAAGTCGTGAGCAGCACAAAAATTAGGTTCAAAACTGGCTGTGTGCTCTGATTACAACTACATAAAAGTGCATTTGAAAAGAGGCAGAGGAATGAGATTGAGAGGGGACAGAAAGACCACTTAGAACGTCATCGTCAATGTTCTCCTTGAGGGGGCGCACCTCTAAAATGTCCAATATTACTCAGCATACAAAGAACCAGGAAAATCTCAACTCCCACGGAAAAAGACCATCAATAGCTACAAAGGCCAAGATTACAGATGTTGGAAAATTATCTGACAAAGACTTTCAAGCAGCTATCATAAATATGCTTCAACAAGTAATCACAAACATTCTTAAGGCAATTGGAAAAATAGAAAATCCCAGCACATAAAAGACTGAAAGAACAAAATGGAAATTTTAGAACTAAAAATATAAGAACCAAAATAAAAATCTCAGTGGATGAGTCCAAGAGCAGAATGGAGAAGACAGACATCCATAAACATGAAGATAAATCAATGAAATTTATCCAATGTAAACATGGAAAAAGGTGTTGAAGAAAAATTAACAGAGCCTGAGGGAACTGTGAGACACCACTGAGTGAGCTGTCATCCACGTCATCGCCATCCCACAATGGAGAAGAGAGACATGAAAAAAATGTGAAGGAATAATGGCTGAATAGGCCCCAAATTTGATGAACGGTATAAATCTACAGATTAAATAAGGATATGGTCAAGACCCAAACAGGATAAACCCAAAGAAATACACATCCAGCCCGATCATAATCACACTGGTGAACACAATACAAAGGGAAAATCTCCAAAGCAGCCACAGATAAAAGACACAATGCCTATTGGGGAGCAATGATTTGAATGACAGGGCATTTCTCACCAGACGCTCTGGAAGCCAGAAGGAAGTGGCACATTTAAAAAGAGACGAAGGAAAAGAATTGTTAACCCAGAACTCTCTCTACATCATCTGCACTTTGGAAGCAAAGGCCACAGAACACCCAGAGAGCCCACCAACCCTCTCTTCCTGCCCTGAAAGCCAGCCAGACCCCACTTTCAACAGGACTCAGCAAAACAGGTTTTCATCCTGAAGCCGGAGTGCTGCAATTTCCCAGCAGAGGTCAGATAACTCATCCTGTGCACTGTGAATTTTATAGACGAACACAAGAGTTGTTCACGTCATACAAACCGTGTTTCTGCTCTGCCAACCCTTCAAAGGTGGGCTGGGTTGTCCCTGTTCTCCGAAGGCCACCATCAAAGCTAAAGCAGAGAGTGAGAGGAACCCAAGAGCTTGCGCTGCAGCCCCTTTTGCCTCTAGGGGCCTCGACTGAGTGGTCTGTCTGCTGTCTGTTGGATCGCTTCACACCAATCCCTATTTGGGGCCTGACCCGGATCACTCTCTGGGTACTCCCATCTCCATGAAGGCATCTCTGCTCTCATTTTGTAGCTGAGGAAACTTGGGTTAGGAAACTAGCCCAAGGGCCCAAGATCCCTGCCTACTGAGGCACCCTGGTCTCCTAACTGGGGGCTGTCCCACCCCTACCAGATGCCCTGTTGGGGACCTAGGCTCCCCAAAGCAGGGAAGGGCAGCTTCCTGGACCTCTCGGTCATCACCATGAGGGCACGTGGGAGTTCCCTGTAGAAGGAACAAATCTGAGTCTGGTTCACTGCTATGGGCCCAGGTGCCTAGCATGCCTGGCACAATAATAGGTGCATAAGGCCACAGAGCCTGTTTGCTGGCATACTGGAAGGCACGCTGTGGTCACCTTATCCACCCAGAGGGGACCAGACTCCTCGCAGGAGAGGCAAGTTCAAGGCCCACCTGTCCAGCTGCTGGGAAGCCCCTCAACCCACCAAACCCAGGGCAGTGCTGCTGAGGCTCTCAGGCTGGAGGCAGAAGCCTTCCTGGTGGGAGCACCCCCGAAGTGCCAGTGGGAGCCAAACAATGAAGAGACCGCACCCTTGCAACTCAGGAGACCCCAAGGAGCCAAGACTGCGCAGGTCCAAGCTCTCCATGAGAAGAGAACAGCTCCCTGCGGCCTTCTTTCCAGTGGCTGCTGCTGACAGTTCCACTGTCACCCGGCCTGTACCCACAGGTTCCTGGCTTCCTCCCACTGCTCTGCCCCCTGGGCAGTAGCTCACCTCTGTGACCCAGTAAATCTCTTGGCTCTGGGGATCAGAGACTTGTCTGCTCTCTCCACAGCCCCAGCCCCCGAGGGGGAACCCAGTGCTGGGGGAGGGAGGGAGGTGGCTGTGGGGAACACTTCCGGCTGTGGCCCTGGTCAGTGACTGGGCCCAGGTCCTGCCCTCTTTTGCTTTCTCTTGCTTCAGGGAGGCTCTGAGATTCATCCTCCCAGGAGCAGGCAAGGGCTGAGAGGGCAGGCTCTGCAGAGGGAGGACACTGGGCGCCTCCACCCCCACCGCCTCTCCCCGCTCACGGTGTTAGTGCTCCTACAGGTGCTGTCAGCTCTGCAAGGGAAGGGCTAAAGCAGGTAAGTGCTCGGTGGGGCTAGGTTATAAGGACAGGAAAAGGCTTTACTTACAACGAAGCCGCACTGTGGAGGAGAGGAGACAAGGAGAAAGCCGAGAGTTAATGCCAGGCTGGGCACATCCTGGAAAGCAGGCCACCCTCTTGGCTATGCCAGTGAGTCTGCTTGGGACCTGCAGCCTCTCACCAGGAGTCCCACCAACTCCTCTCATCTCACCTAGGCCTCATCCCCAATGAGCGAAAGCATCCGTCTATGTACCTCACCTTAACAACTCAAGCCACCGGCTGGGGGAAGTGGGGGACAGATGGTCATGGCAATGGCCAGCTAGACCAATTCTGCAACTTCCCAGCTCAGGACCCAAGAGCCAGGGATTATACTGAGCTGGCTGAGCCTCTAGACCACAGTGTAGAGTCCAAGAGGTCATGAGAGTCCCCAAATGTCACGGCAGCCAGGGCCCCAGAGGCTTGAGCTTGCCCTTGATCAGCTCAAGGGTGCACTCCTTGGCCCAGACCCACGCTGCTCCCAGCCACCTAGTGGACAGACTGGAGTCCTCAGCCATGCTGCTCTGGCTCTAGCAAAGCTTGGCCCAGGGCACAGGCTCCCTCACCTTGGGGTCCACGCGCAGGGGAGTGTTGCGCTTAATGAAGGACTTCATGACGCTGCTGCGGGGGCCCGAGTTCGGGGTCATGAGCATCTGATTCTTCTGCACAGTGTGCAGGAAGGTCCGGAGGGGCCGCACCACCTGCAGATGAGGACCAGGGTCAGGACCACAGGCAGGGCAGGAGCACCACGGGAGGGCAGATGCCCACTCACCTTGCTGGCTGGGCAGGGCGGAGAAGGGGTCTTGTTTCTGGGGGGCTGCAGCTCCTCCTCCTCCTCCTCCAGCTGCTGCTCCTCGTCCAGCTCACTCACCGCCTGCTTGTAGCTGCGCTTCCTCCTGCAGAGGCATGGTGGCAGCAGCATTGTGGGGCTGGCCCCAGCCCCCTCCCTGGAGCCCCAGCCACACCCCATTAAAGGTCACCCCTGTAAACAAAAGTGGGCTGAGCCCACAGGACTACAGACATTGCAGAGGTGGGGACCCCTGGCCACCCCTCTCCTGCTGCCCAGTCAGAAGAGCAGTGACCTGTCCAAAGTCACAGTGAGGAGGACGCAGAAGGGTGGGGTCTAGGATCCAGTCACCCCCTCCGGGCCAGGCTCGGCCCACAGCACTGAGCTGCTTCCTTCATAAAGTCAGAGCTCCAGGCCCCACCCCTGTCAGGGGGAAACAGAGGCCCCTGACCACACACACACCCTCCCTGAGCAAGGACTCAAGCTTCATGCCCCTCTGGGTCCCCCTGAACAGCTGCCTGCATGTCCCTTCCCAGATGCAAACCTGACACTTTGGGGTGGCTCCTTGGGGCCATCTGCATGGTCAGTCTTGGCCTCTGTGGAGAGAGCATTTTAGTGAGCCTGCTGGGACAACGTAGGGAAGGTGCCCATGGGCAGCAGCCATGGCAGGGCAAGGCTCTCCTCCTGGTAGAGACACGGGTCTGGTGGCAGAAGCATCAGCTTTAGCACTGCCTGGCCTTGACAAATCTGTGGGTATCCAGAGCTCAGCATGCTATCTCTAGCCCACAGACCCCTCAACCCCATGCCTGGCCTCTGTGACAACAATGTCAGGACAGTCCCATTGAGGCAACCCAACCATGTCCTGTCCACCTCTAATACTGAGAGCTGGGAGGTGGCTTTCAGAGGCAGAAGCCTATGGAAGCTGCATGACCGAACCCCCAACCGGCCCCACTCCTTCCAGCCCTTTCAGATGGGCCGGTATGACAGGAGGAGGGTGGGCTCCTGTGCAGGGGTGATGGGTGGGCAGGTGGGTCAATGCCTTTTGTTTCACTACTGTGAGCAAGCACCCATCTTTCCCCTGCCTTTTGACACTCCACTCCAAGAAGTCCCTTGGGACTAAGGCCATCGTCCCTGACATCATCATAAAGCTGAGGAAGCTGTGTTCAAGACCTTACAGCACAGTGCCAGGGAGGTATAATCCCTGGGAGACCTCTGACAGCCTGGGGGTACTAGAGCCCACAGCTCTCTCACCCTCTGCAGAGTGGAACCCACAAAAGTGAGAAATGAGCCAGTAGCAGAGACCAAACAAGAGGCCAGGTATTCACAGCCCAGCACATAGTTCCTCCCACTGCCCCTCAGAGGGGGGCTCAAGGCCTGGACCTGGCAGGTTCACAGGGAACGCCCCCATTCAGGCCTTTCCCCCTGCCTCCTGCACCAACCAGCCAAGGCTATCATAGGCCATGTGCAGCAGCTTCAGCCGGAAGGTGGGAGATGGAACCTGCAGACTCAAAGGAGATTTATACACCCCTGGTCTCATTTCCCTTTGGCCTATTAGCCCAGAAAATGGGGTGTCCCTCTGCCCTGAAAGAAAGTCAGACCAAGGCCAGCACGGCTCTGGGTATCGGCACGTGGTGGTCAGGAAGACTCACCTTGCTGCCCTTTAGAGGGCGTTTCCTGGCTACCAGCTGCAGGCCTTGAACCAGGTGTGCTAATGGTGATCTTGGTGGCACTCTGGGGACTGTTGTTCTTGGGGACCTAGGGAAGAAATAAGGCTCTGGGGCCTGCCCCTGGGACCCGCAGGCACTCAAGCCCTCCCTCCCCGGCCTGCTCGCCTTACCTCTGGCTCAGCTGCCTCCACAGGCTCAGGCCCCTCACTGGGCTCCTTCTGCTCGGGGCTGAAAGCAGAGCATGAGGCACTGTGGGACCCGCCCAGCCAGCCCCTGCTTCCCCACAGGAGGCCCCTCCCTGTCCGATGCCCTGGACCGAACCACAAACTCACAGCCCCAGGCAGGACAGGAAGACCTCAGCCGGAACCAGCATCTGCTGCCTGGGCAGGCGAGAGGTGTCTGCTTCTGAATTTGGTTTCACTTACCCCACAGGCCCTTGATCTGGGACGCCAGTCCTTTCCCAGCTCCACCTCCACCCCTTGGGCCCTGATGAGCCATGTCTCTTCTGAGGCCTGCTCTCCATTTACCGTGGGGCCAGCAAAGCCAGAGGACCTGCCCAGTCACCCCATCTCCCCTCCTGACCCTCTGTTCTAAAGCAGGGTGGGCAGGCCTTCGTTTTAGTGATGGCAAGATATGGCATCCAGGAGGCCCAGAAGGAGTGCTGGACCAAAGCAGTGCTGGGTGGAATCCTGGAGTGGGGCGCACTCCCAACCCCCATTCTACTTCACCCCAATTTGAGTGTGGCTCCTCATGACTGTACTAGCTCACCCACAGGCTGCATATTTAACCTATGGAACCCACGTCCCAGGGTAAGGCTGCCAGGGGTCAGAGTCAGGCCAGGGCTGACGAGTGATACCAACAAGTGCTTTGAGAAAACCAAACACTTACATTGCTTGCTGCCTGGTTCAACAGGCCAGGGCTGCAGCAGTGCGTGGCCCATGGGCCATCTCCACAGAGGGAAGACTGGGGCACAGGAAATGTTCTCCCTGAGGCTCACCTGGACAGGCCCCCTGTATGCCCTGCCCAGCCCTCCCAGGGCCCTGGAACTGAACCCACCTGACTTTCTGGGGCACCTCAACATTCAGGAGCCTCTCCAAGTAGCTGTGGCCTAAGGGGAAACAAAGGAACAAAAGATGCCCTCAGAAACTGGTCAGGTGCCACTCCAAGGGGTCCAGGGAACCAGGACGCAGAGCGGGTGTGGGGGGGCTTGGCTCTTCCTTATCTGTAGCCTGACCCTCTCCATCTTGGAACCCCTCCCTTCATAGACACAGACCCTCTCCACCTCGAAGACCCCCCTCCTCACTGGGTGCAAAGGCCTTGCACTCCCCCTCAGCACTCCCTCAACAGCTACAGTCTTCAACAGGGCTCCTGGCTACCCCCTAGCTGACAACATGCCCATCTGATGGCACATCCTGGCTCCTCCACCAAGCTGGGAGTAGCTTGGGAGGAAGAACAATGTCCTGTACACCTCCAGGCCTCCAACTCCCAGCCTGGGGCCCCACACAAAGCAACTTGTTCATTCAACAAGTACTTGTCAAGGGTCTACAATGTGTTGGGCCCTACACCAATCAACTAACCCAAACCAATCAAACAAGCCGTGAAACCTAACTGTGCCCCACACTTAGTACGGAGATGTCTGGTTCACTTAAGAATGTCCTTGATGAAGGAGTAAAAACTATTAGTTTTATTAAATCTAAACTTAAGTACATGTCTTTGTAATATTTGTGTGACTAAGGAGGAAGTATGCAAAATGCCCTTCCGAACACCCAATCTCTGTGAAAAGCACTCGTCTTTGAGTTCCCAGCTGAACTAGCCACTTTTTTTCATGGAACACTATTTTCAGTGTAAGGACAATTGACAAATTATGGTTATTGAACTATGGGTATTTGGCAGACATTTTCTTAAAAATGAACAAAGTGAATATGTCACTTAAAATAAAACAACTGGCAGTATTAGTTGTCAGTAAGTTTAACATTAGGCTCCCCAAAAGGCCAAAAGCAGAATTTTGGAAAATGTGTATCCACGATGAGCTTCATAGCTTCCTAATATCTAAAGACTTTCCTGATGAGATCAGAAAACAAATATGCTCCTTTTAAAAAATACATAATGAAGTGTGTTGACATTTGTAAAATACCTAGCAGTAAAACATTTTCCAGATGACCAACACATGAAGTTACAAAGTTATGAATGGCCCAAAGAGCCACTCAAAGTACAAGACAGACCACCGTGGGATCAATGGTAAGGCTTCAGATTCCACACTGCAACAAGCCTTTAAAAAACTGCCACTTGCTGCATTGACTATATACATTATCTGAAAGAAAATTAAAAAAAAAAAGAATATACCCAATTACCTGAAAAGGCTTAAAAAATACTCCCTTTTCTATATACATGTCTGTACAGGAACAGACTTTCTTCATATGCTTTAACCCAAACAACACAATTCAATACACTGAATGCAGACTCTAACCGTCTTCCTTTAAGCCTTACATTAAAGAGATCTGCAAAACGCTAATAATGCCAGTCTCCTCGCTATATTTTTTTGGAAAAGTTATTTTTTCATTAAAAAAAAAATTCTAACATTAGGTTAGTGGCTTGTTATTTTTTCATATGAAAATATTAAATATTTTTAAAGTTAAAAAATACAAAAAATTTATAGTTATATTAACATGGTAGTAACAGTAATTTAATGCATATAACATAACTATTATATAGAATATACAAAACTGATCATTAAAAATAAAATTAATAT